CCATTCATGTATTATGAGTAACTAATCATGTATGATTGAATTTATTAGTGTCAATTGAACGATTTTATATTTAACACATAGATTTCAAATTTGATACATTAAGATATCTAAAATGATTGTTTTCCTTTATTGTTTATCATAAAATTGAATAAACGTAAATACTAATGAATATATTTGAATATTATTATAGCATTTTGCTGCAGAGACTTATTTTGGGTACCTTTCTAGTTTATTTTAGTTAACAATTATTAATATAAAAATAACAGTAAACAGTAAGTTTGTAAACGTCAAATAGAAGATTAGGTTATCATCTATATGTCAATCTAATGTTAATATCTCTCAAGGGAAGATTAGATATAATTTATTAAAGATAAACATGGATTTATGATAAATTTCATAAATAAATACACCCAATATCTCCAGTATTTACACAAATAAAATATTAATTACTTTACACTTTAAACTCAAAGGTGCGGATTGTACTGAGTTGGTATTAATCCAACCAACAGTTTTACTTTCGTCAATTGAAGTCTCGAAGACTAGCCCCTTAGTATCCCCAATTACTTTGCTGGTAGAAGGTCATTGTACCATTAGCATGATTGCGAAACTGAAATTTACATAGTATTTGTATTTTTTTATAATTGATCTTGTTCAAAGCTAAGAATATTAATGCATTATATTGTAGTACAATATGTATATTTATATTTGTTTTACAGTCTGTAATTATTGATAAATTTCTTCATTTGCATAAACCACATGTTACATCTTTATAGTTATTTTTTTTTTAAATGTTGTAAATTTTGAAACCGCAACTCAATGATATTGTTGTCATACTATTTGATGTTATTACTTAAAACATAACCTTAATATCCCTTTAACTCTCACTAAAGTACATGTTAGGTTTCGTAATGTTACCGCAAACATGTCCAACGCATAACCCTAAAACACTTAACATGGAAGTTATATTTAAACTTCATCTGGGTATGTCATAACCGTGTACCATCTATTGCGCCAATAACACGCCTTTTTGAAATCTCTGGTTGCATAATAATTCCTCGTTGACACCAACAAATGCTATTGTTGAAATCTGTCTCAATCTTGAATATGTACGTCATAATTCAGATCACGTTTCAACGGTTTTTGTTGATGTCACAAATCCAAAGTTGACAGAAAACTTGTTACATATGATGTATAAAATAATTAAAGTCACCATCAAAACGTAAGTTAAATATGACATCTATCTTATGCTTGGTCCAGTTCATCAAGACCATTTTCAGTGCAAAAGGCAAATGGGCATAATTTAGATAGTTGACCAAAATTTAAAGAATGAATTTAATTGTCAGGTTCAGAGAACAAGTTCAGTAGCATTCAAATCATTATCCTCACCTTATTTCATGTCTATACCAATTTTTAAAAGGGCATTAGACTATATAACAAAGAATAAAATTTTTTCCAAAATTATAGCAAGACATTGTTTTTCTTCTTATGACCAATAATTCTGGAATTTTCTTCTACCGAATCTGTTCCCTTGTTTACTGTAGAAAAATAAAAAAATAAAATTTCAGGAATTTGGGTTCAGTTTTCTGGTCATAGAAAATATTTCAGACATTTTGTCTTTTTGTGTCTTGTTAAATGTTAAGTTACAACATTTAAAATATGTTAAAATCATCATTTTCGATGGAACATTTAAAACCGTTTTTTTTACAAACATTTTCTTCTGATGTCTATGATAATTGGATTTTCGTGGAATGTTTTGTATTTTTAAGATAAGAGAATAATTTTGTTTATGAAAAAAGACCCAGAATCACTCTCTGAAATTGCTGCCTAAAAAGATCATTTTTTTCTATATTTAGATAAATTTTCAAATAAAATAATGAATAAACGGGCTTTTGTGTTGATGGATTGTTTTCAAAATTAAAATTGCATAATTAATTACTAAAAAAGGTATATGAGAAAGAAATGCAGATTAAACACGAACCACTCATAATTGTAAAAATATTGAGCGAGGATTTTTTTCAATTGCAGATGACAACTGCCCCATCAGCACCACCATCAGGTCGAGCCTGTTGTGAGAATGGTCGGCCAATTTTAACAGATCCACATACGGGTCAGACAATATGTTCCTGTCAGTACGGTGCTGCTTTATTAAATTATCCAAGAGTTCCTGGATTAGCAGAGAGTGTATACAGTGCTTCAGCAGCGTACGCAGCAGCGGCATCCCAGGGTTATGTTTCACTTGGTGCAGAAGGTTCGGCGTTTTACTCTCCTTTGGTAAGAAATTATTTTATATGCCTTATTTTATGATATTGTGTTTTGTTTTTAAAAATAATATATTTGAAAGACGGAATATTATGCTTTCCCTTCAGACAACAGTTTGCTGTGTAAGAATCTTGTTAATAGAATTATTGGTTTTTTAACATCATAATAGCAGAATTTTACAGCACAATTGGAAAGATTACAATATTTATTTGATAATTTAGAAAACTCAAATAAAGTATCTAAATTATCTACATTATATAATTGTCAAAAAGTTTTCTTTCTATTAGTCATGTTTATGAATTCGTCGAATTGTGGGGGCTGCGCTTCTTACATTCAGGAAGAGTGATGAACAATATTGAATTAGTATAATATAAATAGATCTAACACTTTAGAGTACAATACTATTGTAGAAAGGCAGTGACCATTCACTTCCTTTCCTAATTATAGATAGAAATATTAGGAAATGATTAAAAGTCATTGTCAGCAGTGACAATGATATCATTGCATAATACAACTTGTCAAATATCGAGAACAATCAGTTATTTCAATGTAATGACTTGCAATAATTTCTGCTAGGTTTTGACAGTGCACCTACGAAATACGAGCTGTTTCATATTTGCATAAAACAACTTGTAAAAATAGCGATAACAATCAGTTATTTCAATGAAATGACATGCAATAACGTACTATTTAAAATAAAAATTCACCTTGAAATGTGAGCTGTTTCATATAATTTTGATATGTGCATAATTAGAGCTTACAAGTTTGCATATATGTCAGATCCGTGTGTGTCGTTTGTTAAAATTGAATCGCGATATTATGAAATCGTTCATCGTTTATAAATCTGAAATCTTGTGGAACTTAGTACCAGAACTATTTTGGAATTACCAAATTTATTTTCACATTTAGTGAAAAACAGTCGGCTCAAAATTTACTTTATTTCAGTGTAATTGAATCCATGAAGTATATCATCAAATTTTAAGTATTTTAATGAACGTCACGCCCTTTTAACATGAGTATAACAAATCACTCATATTTATAATGTGTTTATTTATTTGTCAATATAACGGAAACATTGATTATACAATGAACGCTGATTCACTTTCTCTCCTTCATGCTTAATAAGGTCTAATTGGTTTTCCATGAAACCAATTCTGTTGATGTAATGTGAAAGTCATAGGGTGGGAGAACTTTATTTATTTATTCAAGTATCCGCGGTGACGTATTAATTTCACACCCCTGCTAATAAAGCCCTATCAGTTTACATTGCGGGTTTATAATCAGTCGACACCGTACAGGACACTAAATTACACACTTGACTTAATATAACAGATTTTTGTTTGAAATTCTCCTAATTACTTCATTATGAAAAAACACAAACCATATCGTACAGAAGTTAACTTTTACTAATTTTAGAACAACCAATACATATATTTTGACAACTTGTTCCATATTATATGTCATTTATGCTTAAGACTTTTCGGCGCAAACTTTTTATTTAATGAGATGGCATAATTTATGCTGAAAATACATAACTCAAAATTAATAAGATTTCTTTTGAAAAAAAAAACTAACAAGTGCTCCTTTATTCATAACCTTTAACAATCAAATGAATTGTCTATTTAAGGCTGGTGGCCCATACGAATTAAAAGACGGCCCAGAAGCATGGCGTGCATTAGCGCAGCCCGGATTTCCATATGACCCAACAATGATCTATCCATACGGCGCTGGGTGAGTAAATTCGTTTTCTTTCTTTGAATAAATAATCTGTACTTAAAAACCCCAATCTCTTTTTCAGGTTAAATGATGCGAAAAACTTGACACATGTAGAAAACTGTGAAAGGTCTTGCTTTTATTCACTAACTGTCAAAATGTGTAAAAGATAGTTTGACTGCGGTGATTATTCAATAGTTGATTATTATTTAATATGTTATTCAAATTTTCTATAGTCGGTATTTTCATGGTTCATAGAGTGTAGTTTGACATTTCTTTACGCCCGGAAAAGAAGTGGGATAAAGGGTCTTTCAAAACAATTTTGGATGCATTATAAATAACGTTTTTGTAACAAATCATAATATTCTTATTAATAGTTTTTTTTATGAAAGAAAATGAAAGTTTCTCTTATGGAGATTAGAATCTTAAAACGATTTTTATTTTACCGATTTCAGAAATCTCGAAATAATCTACACGAGATATCGCGAGAGTTAAAAATCTCCGTCACGGTTTAAAGAAAAATTCTGTTTAATAAAAAAATACCACACAAGTAGTTAAAGTGAAAACGAAATAAACTTTGATGTTGAATTGTTTAGATATATTGAAATAAAGTCATAGAAAATCTCGAGAAAATAAAAGATGGCATTGATCTAAACGAAACTGAACAAATATTATTAGATACGGGCGAGAAGTATAAAGACATCTTGTAAAACACTGGAGTATTCTAGTTTTTGAGTGGAACTACTAAAAAATTACCGACTATCAACGATCCTATTTTATACATAATAATGCAGAACTTCTATTTGATCTTTACATTGACAAATATTTTTGTTAAATTGTATTTTCTTTAACTGAATGAAAAGTATATTGTTATGTTTAATCAATTAATATATTACATAAAGCAAAATTAAACAGTCTAAGACAATATTTTTAACAATACATGTATTTGTAGTATCAATGAACACTTTGTAACTCATTATATTTTTTATTTTCCGCCCAGGTTTGGCGGTCTTGATTTAAATTCTAGACGTAAAAATGCCACACGAGAAAATACGACCACATTAAAGGCTTGGTTATATGAACACAGAAAGAATCCTTATCCAACCAAAGGTGAAAAAATTATGTTAGCCATCATCACCAAAATGACTTTAACTCAAGTTTCTACGTGGTTTGCTAATGCTAGAAGACGACTGAAGAAGGAGAATAAAATGACGTGGTCACCAAGAAACAGATCTGAAGATGGCAGTGATGGTTTAGATAATATTGATGTGGATTCGGAGGGTGGAAAAGACGATAAAGACGGAAGATCAACCCCTGGATTGGGAGATCTTGGATCTGGGAGATCAACACCTGCTGGTGGTAAGTTTTCCAAATTCTGTTTATTCTCCCTTGTTGTCATCAAAATACAAGGGGTTAAAACCTAAACTCAATTTAAGCTTTTACTTGAAGATTATGCTGTCTTGTCTTACATTCTTTCACGAGCTTTTAACGCTCAGTATGTAAAAACATGATATTTATTTGGTTCAAATTCTACTTTATTGTCTTCATCTGTCATATTGTGTGTATGACTGGCAGCAAATTATTTTATTATTATTTATATTATTTGTGTTTTATTATCGAGCCTAGGGCAAAACATGGTCAAAACATTGTCCAATTTATCACCGACAAATAGCAGACAAATACAGTATGATAGCCTCATGTTTTACAATATTAATATCATTATTATTGCTCTGATTGTGATAAATTGTTTTTGTTTCAACGCAGATTTATCCCCCTTATTCAGATTTAATTTCTTTGTGTTTAATTCAACTTCACATTGCGTTTTTTTTTTTTATGTCAAAACGTTAAATCGAGACGTAATTTTAAACAACCGGGTCTAATTGAATGTTTAGTTCTCTGTAGTTTTCTGCTTTTAAACATTAAAATAATTCTTTTAAAACACGATGTGTATTCGCCAGTTGTATTTAACAGCCACCCATTAAAATGCTATTTGGTATAATCAGTACTTTATTTATTCAGTTCAACTATAAAAATATTTAGTATAAACATCATTGAGCAAGTGAACTATTATCAAGCATTTTGACAGGAGGAAAATCGACATTTGATGAGAAGGAGTGTTAAGGGAGACATTTAATAATTTGATCAATAGATTGAGGCAAGGAAAGAGCAGTATTGAAGGGTTAAATAATGAAATTAAATTGTTACTAGTCAAACAATGGCGTCCAATTCCAACTCTTTGCTGCAAATATTGATAGTATTCTACTCTCTACTCGATTAGGCTGATATCTAGTTTTTTCCCGTTTTCCTGTTCATTCCATTATTTAACGACTGTATTTTTAAAACTATGTATTAAAATCGCTTACTGCAGGATGCAGAGGATAAGGCAAGCGCAAATATTTTTGATTAAAAGACTTAATATATATGAATTCAGAAATTATCAGTTGCATTCAGTTTTCTGCTCTTTGATGGTCTTATAATTATTTTAGTTAATAGTTTTTTAGTTGTACATTTGTTAGCAATGGTTCGCCAACTACAGGATATTTGTGTTGGCCTTAACCATATGAAATGAGTGAAATCTGCAACAATGAATCTATTACAATTCAGATATCTCGAAGTCCCTGAGGCTGAGAGCCACACGTCGCTTTATTTGTTCATATAAATACCAACTTAATACTATTATCATCTTATAAAGATTCGTTTCAGAGTTAGCGTTTCATTTCCTTTATAGAGCGAATAAATTTGATCATCAGATTTAATGCTTAATTTGATACTGGCTGTAAAGCGCTAATTATTATTTTATGCTTCGTGCGGAACAGTTGGATGTCACATTGCGAACATTGCACTTCATTAAATTTTAAAAAATCCAGACGATATTCATTGAAAATAATACTTTATTTCACTTATTGGTTTATATGGTCGGTAAAACTAATACAGACTATTGTATTACACTCAATTCTCAAGTAAAAAAACAAATATAAGGCTGTTTATTCCTAGACATGTTTCTTATTGAAATCATCAAGTAAACGAAAACAAGCATGTTTAATATAGTAACAATAGTATGAACTGAATTGAATAAATACAGGTTCCATAAAGATAACCTAGACTGGGTCACGTGATTCATCTTCTCACCTGTGTGATAAAGATGCTTAGTGTTTGATGTTGCCGCTACACCTGCCCCCTCAGGTGTTATCTAGTCGACAAGATTTACCTAATCTTTTCAGATAATATTTTCTTCTCTTAACTTTAATACTACTTAACTGTCAATCATTTAGTTTCGTCTCCCACTGATGGTTCCTAAATTTTAATCACCTAAGATGGCGACGGTTGTTCTGAATTCTGTTCGACAAGAATTTTATCTTAGTGTCAACTTAAAAGTCTACTTTTGATTGAAAATTTAGATAAACTAGCAGTTTAGTAGATTTTGACACGAATACGCCCAAGTTTGTACCCATGAATAGTTCTTGAATCATGTAGACGAGTAAAATGTGTGGTATGTAAAGAAATGGCTATGATATACTTGGTGGTCTTCATATACATTGCAGACACTAAAGAAAAGCTCGACGATCTGATAACACAAGAACAAGTCAAAGTTAATTTTACGTATTAAACTAACAATGAACATTGCTCTTTAATTAAAGGGTGATTCATGCAATTAATGGTTTTAGACCCGTTTAAGGATTTGTAGGTCGTCACGAATTTTGTCAAGTACAGTTCAGTACACAATCATAAATCACGTGACATGGATATAGATATGGATAATTGAAATCATTTGATGCAAAATCAATTTGCGATGGGTAAAGTTATCTTGATGGTGCCTTACCGAATATAATATACTTTATATAACTTACTGCATCGACAAAATCATTAGTTTATGTAGATGAAGTTATTCGGTACAATTGGTTGGTAGTGTAATACAATCAAAAATAGGTATACAGTCACAATAATGTAATGAATTGTTTGAATGAACTTAATGAAAAATATAGACACCAATCATATCAAGACAATTTAAACCTCTTTCTAGAAAAAGACTGTCTGGATCATGTTGAAAGCCAAATTTACAAAAATTAGAATGGAAATAGAAACGTTCAGACAAATGATCACCATTAGCTTTAATAACGTTTGATATCAAAATATATTATTACTTGTTTACGTCAATATATCATCTCTCTATCCTACTTTCATCTTGTTTAAAAATAATAAATATTACCCTTCTATTTTAACTTAGTTTTTACATTCAATTGCTATCATATACCATTTTAATTCGACAAATGTTCTATTCGAGAACATAGAATGGTAAATTGTTACTCAACTGCATACACATGTTACAGTGTTATATTGTCTAGATGTTTTACTTCACCATATGTACAAATACTGAGAACGAAACCCGACATATATCAATTTCTGGAATATTTTTTCAAAATCGACCGAGAGATAAAATTAGCCAGAAAAACATGCTATCTAACGTTTACATCTCGTTTAAGGTTTGTTTTGCCTTCAACTACCCCAAGTTCTTGTCATTTCTAACACTTAAAAAAGAATGTTGTTACTCAAACTCATTGTTTTAATCTGTAACTAATGTGTTGATAGAATTATCTCCCCTGAAAAATAACAAACTTGAGAAGAAAATATTCTTTAAGTTTATTTTTGTTATTCGAACTAGCATTTAAAAATCCCGTAATTAGAAACTGTGTGTGATTTGACATAACAGCAATCTCAAACTGAGAGAACAAGAGAAATAGTTGATTATGTATTAATGAGTTTGCAAACACGCAAGGGAGTCAACTTTGTAAGATATTTTTCAATTTGGCGGTGTAATATGCAGAAAATGATAACACCCATTTAAGCCACAGTGTATTGCTCTGTAATAATGTCATCCTTTTTTAAAATATTTCAGTAGATGATTTAGACACACTCGATGGTAAAGATGCTTTTATCAATGTTGATGATGAAGACAGTGATGACCATGGTTACCATGCCGACAGACTAGATTCCGATGAGGAAGTGTTACGTCGAATGAAAGGAAAATCAGACTCTGAAAAACTGTGTGATTCCGCGAGTGTAACAGACAATCATTCACCCAACAAAACTGAAAACAGAGACTCGAATGTTCAAAGTGGTGGAAATTCTACGGGTACATCATCTCAACAAAATACCGAACAGTCACCCCGACCAAAAATTTGGTCAATATCCGAGTTTTTACATAAGACCTCAACAACAACTGGAACTACATCTTCCAGACCAGCAGCCATATCTACGCATGCTCGACCACCACATACATCCGGTTTATTTTACATCCCGGGAGCACCGAATGGATGGAATGGAGCACGTTATCATGGTGTTCATCCATATTCAATGTCTCTAAGTCATTCTACCATTTCTTACCCTTACAGCATTACCTCACATACAGCAAATAAATCTCCACTTCCCTCTACCGCCACATTAAGAACAATAGACTCATTAAAAGAAGGTGAAAAATTAATGCGTCCTAATGTGCTCTTCTCTCCTGCACGTGATTTGGATGGAATACGACCAAATGGTAAGATATTTCTAACATTTTTATCTTTTATACATTAATTTTTTCTACAGTTTACGTTTGCATTCTTTAAGATAACTAGAATCAGTCGATGTTTTGTGGTTTACATTAGTGCCGTAGACACTTTGCATTTATGATTGGTGTTGCTAAAATACAACCAAAAAACAAAAACAGTATTTAAAAAATCTAGCCTACAATTTTCCAATATTGGTCTGATCGGTTTCTTCCAACCCCATGATTTCATAATTTGAATTGCAGCTAATCTGATAATCTAGTGCAATATCATTTATCATTATAGTATGAAATCCGTGTCTTTCGAAATATTACACCGTTAATCCAGTAGAATTTAAAGTTTAAGTGAGGCAGTCATTATATGATATTTATCGTAATCATAATAATACTGGTTATTGAAACAGAAAGCCGATGTTAGTCTTTATTCTAAATCTGTTGAATGTCTTCAAAACTGATTTACGTGCTCACTTGACAAAAGTCGAATTGCAAACCATTTCAAACCTAAACCATTTGACGTGATTTTAACACTCTTCCATAGTCTTAAACACTGATGTTCAATTTTCTTTTTAAACGTGATGAAAAGAATAGAAGTGGACCAAGATAGCTATTTTCTATTGTATAAGGCTAAATTGGTGTTGGGTATATCTTTACTGATGTTATTGTGTTGGGTGTGTGGCCGAACAACTT